TGTGGTTGACTTTGAATTATGTAAGAAACGAGGGAAACGAGTGCGTGGTAGTAAGAGGAGTAGTCCCTTAAACTTAATTTCCATGTATAATGATGTGGTCAACTCGCAAGTGGTATTACATTCGAATATTTTAAGAATCGGGAGACAACGGGTGCAGTCTCACGCACATGAATAAGAATTGGGGGTAACGGGTGCGGTCGCACGCACGTGAATCGCACCACAACAGGATGAGACTTGATGCACTATGGTGAGGTTATATCCAAAAACCAATTAATTGTAGTAATAGTCAACAAAACTTATAAGTTATGCTTTTTTTTCATGTGTAAACGATGTGAGACAACTCACAAGTAATATTATATTCTAATAAAATAATTTCAGAACCCTATCACACCCCCGATCTGATGAAATAGGATGAATTGAGACAGTATTGTGTAAATACGTAATTATCTTGAATATATTAACCAGCTCTTTATTTTCTGATCGCCTCGAAGGGACAAAAGAAAGATCTTGTTCTTTCTTCAACAATTTCTGATCTCTAGTGGACCTCTCAGTAGCATTCGAACTCAGATGAAGTTCTGACCATCTATCAGAGAAAAAAAAGTGAATGGTTAAAATGATTGAATTTTTAAAAAAAATTATATCCAAACATGCACTTTATTTTTCTTTTATATTTTCTTTATACGTTGAAATGATTAATAATGATTGACCGCGCGTCTCAACGCGGCAAATTAATATTTATATTTTTCCTCGACAAACCTCTACTAACTAGTAGTAGTGGCGAGCAAGGGTCGAACCCACAGGGAGTGTGAATCAAATTGTGAATTTTCTTGTATTAATTGAATTTATAAAAGCGGTAAATGGGGGGATTGGGTTTTGATAATTAAACTAACTAAAAATCCCTAAACTATAAAGAAAGAAAATAAAAATAAATATAAAATAAATAAGAGAAATTTCTAGTTCACGGTTCCGTCTACACACTCGACTGACTCATCTAATCAATTCTGGCATCAAATCTCGCTATCTTATGAAATTACTAGCCCTAGGCAACGACACGGTCTGTTACCCGAATTTTTCCTTATTTTTAATCTAACCGCGAGACGCTCTACGATTAGACCTGACTTCTTGTACAATCTAGAAAACGCTTCTTAGATTTAATACAATCAGCCGCTTTACGCATTAGAAAAATAGGCTAGACTAAGTAGTGACGCGTTCGTTCACTTAAATAGGCCGTGTTACCCCGGTAGTTACCATCTTTCGGATACCACTTGCGAATTAAACACATCAACAATTACGGATTGAAGGCCTAATTCAGGTGTAGATATGTAAAGTCTAATCTAGGTGATCAATCTAAATAAGACTCAACATATCATGGTTAATTATTCAAAATAACACAAACAATTCCAAAAATCTAACTAAATAATCAACCATAAATTAATCAAACATCATCAAGTCGTAGGGTTCAACTTCACCGGAACTAGAATAAAATCTAGTCTAACATAATAAATAAAATGGAAAAGAAAAGGAGAAGAA